GCCCCCCGTGTCCCCCAGGACACCCCGCCCCTGTACCCCCTGGAGCAGATGCCGGTGCCCACAGCAGTGTGGTCAGGAGGGCAGGACTGGGCAGCTGACTGGAGGGACGTGCTGCAGCTGCTGCCCCGCATCAGCCACCTTGTCACTTACACCCACATCCCCGACTGGAACCACTGGGACTTTGTGTGGGGCCTGGACGCCCCCGGGCGCCTCTACAGCAGCATGCTGAGCCTGATGGAGGGCTCCCGGTAGAGCGGCAGCTCCCGGCGGCCTGGCCCCTGTCCCTCAGCTGAGACAGCCCCAGGAGGGGCTGGGACAATCCCTGCTGTCCCCTCCTTCCTGCTGGCCTGACACGCTTGTGGTGATGGTGCTTTGGTTGTTGGGTCTCTCCTCCTTGCTTGGGAGCTCCTCAAACACCGGCAGCACCGGGGTCAGCTGAGGCAGAGCCACCGGGGTCAGAGCAGGCAGGAGCCACCAGCCCTGCTGGAAGGGTCCCAACATGATGGTGCTGAGCCAGGGACACACATGGGGACTCTGCCATGACCCCACGGTGGATTGTGGATTAGAGCAGCCAGCCTGTGAGGAGCTGGGCCTGTGGGGGGACAGGCTGAGAGCAGCCCCCAGCCATGCACACAAAGGAATGCAGGGGATGCATGGGGCCAAACCCTTCTTGGCAGCAGCAGCAACAGGGGCTCTGGCCCCAGATTGCACCCCAGGGGGTTCAGGTTGGATTTGGAGAATCCTTTTTCCCCAAGACAAGTCCTCAGGAAGTGGAAGGTCTCCATATGTGGGCAGGGACTCAGTGGCCAAAGGTCCCCAGGAGTGGCTGCTTGGCTCAGCACCAAGGCACTGGGAATGATCATCCCTCATCCCTGGAAGCTGCTGACCCCAAATGCCCTGGGCTGGGTTGCAGGGCTGCCATCCCCCCGGGAAGCTGCTCCAGGCTGACGTCCCCAGCCTATCCCACCCTGCTGCTTGCTGCAAACCCAGAGGTGGGGAAAATCCATCCTAAATAAATGCTGAAAGGGGGTTTCAGGAGCCTGAAACTCACTCACAGCTCTTCCTTGCATGTGAATATTTTCTGGCAGCAGGGACACAGGGCCAGCTGGTGGGTTCTCCAAGGGTCCCAACTGGGAGTATCCCAGTACATCCAGCACCCTACCCAGCCCCTGGGCAGGGGGCAGGAACTCTTGCTGGCAAAAATAACCCCAGACAGCCTTGGGAGTGGAGAGCTTTATTGTATCCATGAAGGTTTGGGCATCACGGGTGGGCG